CTTCATATGCTAGATTTGTGTCAAGGGAAGAAACGTATTTAAAGGGTATCTAAATAACCCAGAAAAAACTGCTGAAGTTCTTGGAAAGGACGGCTGGCTCAAAACTGGTGATATAGGTGAATGGACAAAGGTATATGGCGCTTTGCGCTAAGCCGAGTTTTTAGTAGCGCACGTTCATCTCATGCCTAGGTCGTCCATACGTAGCCGGAAGGCTTTCGCAAAATTCCTTTTTTCAAATGTGCAGGATATTCTTTATATAAAGAATACTAATAAGGGTGACCTTTATCAGATATAAAGGTCCATGACCCTAGCGAGGGTCGAATGTTTGCTACCTGATCATTGACCAATGCAGGATGTCAAACGAATGCAGTAAAACAGACAACAGGCCTTCTATTTAAGAAATATAAAACGGCGCGCGTGTCTCTGTCCTCTGATATAAACACGGTGGGAGTTCGAAAAACACGAGAGAAGCAAGCTTAGTAACACGAGCGTAGCGAGTGTTTCTCTTGCTTCTCGAGTGTTTTTCAACTCCCACCGTGTTTATATCAGAGGACAGAGACACAAGCGGCCGTTTTATATTTCTTTTATAAAATTTTTCGAGCGAAAAGAAAATTTTGCCGGTAAACCGTGTCTCTGTCCTCTGATATAAACACAGTCGTCAGCCAATCAGAGCGCGCGTTATATATCAAAAATTTTATAATGTACTTTATGCGCATTCAATGTGGGATGACAAGACTGCTTTGTAAAGTGATTCGCGCATGATCAGTTTGCCCCATTTATCTCTGAACATATTTGTACGGCAATTTCTCCAAGAATTTTAGCAGATTTGAGTTTCAAATTAGTGTTGGAGTTTTTGAAGCCGTTAAAAACACGAGAGAGTGTTTTATCAGGTATAAAGATTCGAGCATAATTACTGTAACTTTCAACTACTGTAACAAGTAAATAATCGACTCAACAACGGTATATAAATTCAGTACAGTTTTTGTACGCAATCTTCTATTTCTTTTACACACACCGCTAAATTGTGTTACTGAGTAACGAGGGGCTGGACAAATTGATACCCTGGATTCTAACAAGCATTCCAAAGTGAAGCAAAATCAGTTACAAAATCGATTTGAGCAATAACCTGCAACGAGATTACATATCATACCGTATACTAAACAACAACAACAATCGAGATTTTGAAGTAATGAACTGATCATTCTCATGCTTAAATTTGTATTTTTTTCCTATTTTTGTATTCTTTTCTTTTTGGAAGATATCTTTACTATTGACAAGTTCCCGAAAAACTGTTTTATCTGGGTTACTGGTCCTGATAAGAGAAAAAAAATCATTGCCCGTGGTCCTAATCAAACAGTCAAATA